AACCATGGGGTACTGGTCTGCAGGTTGGATGTAGGCTGGGATCGTCTCTGTGATGTCCCTAACCCGAACCCCAGGCATGAAGCAGACCTCTCACGTCATGAGGTCAGGCTGGCAGATGGGACCTCCCAATCCTTGTAAGATGGAGTCTCGGATGACGAGGACCCAGCGTTTCTTCCTGCTGATGTTTGCTCTCTGCCCATTCTTTGTCATGTGGGGAGTGGCATCGTCCCCGCTGGAGGCAGTTCCTCTGTCTTTCTCCGTCACAGCTGCCAGGGTGTCAAACCTGTTCCCCAGGTGAACCTGGGGAGCTTCCACCACTCTAGGCCTAGCAGCTCTGGATTTGGACACCTTCTGCTACTCCTGCATTGGATGCGTCTCCTGTAGGGGCTATACAGGGGGTGACCGGGCCTGCAGAGAACAGAGATGGGCATCAATTTCATCCTCTGTATCCCTGATCCCCCTCAGCCTGCTCACCTCAGCCTGGAGCTCCCTCACCTGCTCCTCTAGGGCCCTAAGTTGTGCACAGGAGGGGCAGGCAAGGGGACCACCAGGCCCCGCCCCCTGGACCGCACCCTACAGACAGGGGGCAAGGGGCCACTGACCCCACCATGAGGTCCGTCTGGGTGGAGGCCTCAGAAGAGCCCATGGCAGGTGGCAGCACCAGGGCAGGGCCCCTGGCAGCCATGCTCCGCGTCTGCACCATGTCTGCAGAGCTGCGCCTACAGCTTTTGATCATTGGAGGTGCTGCTCTTGGCAGCTACCTCGTGCCTGCCTTACATGAATGCTGGCGCAAACACCGGCGCGCCCTTACAGAGCGTGCCTGTTTGCGCTCACTGTTAGTGTGTGCTGCCCACGCGTGACTCAGGAGCACGGCTCTCTGTTGGGTGAGCTAAGAGAGCTCCGAAGGGCTTCCCCTCTGGATCCGCCTCAGCTGTGCTGTACCCCCTGCCTCACTTACCTTAGGGGGAATCAGTTGTTGCTGCCCCCGCCGCTGTCTCCTCCGCAGCTGCTGCCTTCGCCGCCAAGGTAAGGGGGTACGTGTGTGGCACACGTGCGCCCTGCTCCTTCTGCTCCTGCTCCCCAACTGCTGAAAGGAAGGAAGAAAGGAATAAGTCCTTCCAAGAAAGGAAGGGCTTATGTGCCTCCCTAGGTCAAAACAGGATTGTTCTTCTAGGACAAGGGTTATATATATACTAGCCGATTGCCCATCATAAATGACAGAACGTTTCAGGGAGAGATTACATGCCCCCCATCACTCACGCTTTGGGGCCGGCCACATAAACCAGGGGCAGGCAATTATTTTGGGTGGAGGGCCACTAACTGAGTTTTGGCAAGCTGTCAAAGGCTGCATGTATACCTCTGCCCCTTGGCAACTAGGCGGTGGGGCACCTGCCATCTTGTGACCAGAAGTTGCACCCTCTTACCCCTGACCTTTACTACCAGAAGTCCATCCCCTCCCCCCAAAGTACTCCTTTCAGCAAGGGGTTGTGCCATCTTAGAACCAAAAAAATACCAAATTATATTCTAAAAAAGAAACATGTCCAGCATTCATGAATCTGATTTCAAAAAATATTTTTGTCCTGATTTACATGTATTTGTGTAGTGTACATAAAGAGGATTGTACAACAGCTTAAAATGAAGTTTTACTCTTGTATATTGTGAGGGGTGGGTATAGGTTTGTGGGTGTATGGGGTGAGGGAACATTGTGGGTGTGTGTGTGGATATGTGGGGTGTGGGTGGGTATGGGGTTTGTGGGGAATTGTGTGTGGGGGGAGGATCTCTGGGCTGTGTGAGGGGGTGTGCATGTTGGGGTCTGTGTGTATGGCAGTGTGAGGAGAGTGTGGTGGCATGTGTATGGTGTGGAGTGCGTGTGGGACTCATGAGCACACCCCCCCCCCATGCACTCTGCCAGTGGCTACATACTCACTCACTCACTCACTCACTCACTCACTCACTCACTCACTCTGCTCCTGGCTCCACTGCCACACCCACCCACTCTGCCCCAGGCCACACCCACCCACTCTACCCCAGGCCACACCCACCCACTCTACCCCTGGCTCCACAAACACACCTGCCCACCCGGACCCTGGCTCCACACCC